CCCTGCTCACCCCACAGCCATGCCCAGCTCAGTCCCAGCTCAGGCATTCAGGTGCCAGCAGCTGCCCCAGGGGGCTGAGGTGGGCACCTGCCCTCCTCAGCCCCTGCCTCTATCAGCCGACGCAGGAGCCCCCCACCCCTGCCCCGGTGGCAGCGGCGAGGAGCTGGGGGGCTGCCCCGCAAGGCACCCAGCAGACCAGGCAGCTGCCGGGGCAGGCGGTAGGTGGGCAGGGGCCGGAGGGGCCGGGGCACGTCACGGGGGCTGCAGAGCCGACTGAAATAGGCCAGGACCCACCCGCCGCCGCAGCCCGCCGCCCCCAGCTCCCCGTGCAGGCAGGCCATGGCTGCCCCAAAGATGTCATGGGCATCCCCAGGCATCCCACTGGCTACCCCGACCTGCCACCGACGAAAGAGACGGGAACTGCCCCGGCTCCAGAGGAGTAGGACAGTGCCATGCTGGCGGCCCACGCGGCCCCGCTGGGCGTAGAGCCAGGGCAGGGTGCCCGACTGCCCCAAGCCACCCGCTTCCCACAGGTCCAGGTGCACGTCACAGCCCAGCCCTGCGCGCAGCCGCTCGGCCAGAGTGCACACCAGCCCCAGGTGCTCCTCCGAGTCTGGCGAGTACAGCAGCAGCACAGGGCGCCCGCCTGGGACACCTGCAGAATGGAGGGGAGAGTGGTGACAGTGCAGCCCCCTGTCCCACTGATCTCCCGTGGGGGAAACCTTGGCATCCACCACCATCCACTGCTCCAGGACCCTCTGCAACCCACGAGCCCTGACACTCCAGCCCCATGACCATCGTGGCTGGTGGTCCCATCCTGCAGCCCCCCAAGGTGCCCCTCACCATTGTCCGGCCTCCAGGCACCGCGGCAGTTGAGGAGCAGCACGGTCACGACCAGCCCCAGTGCTAGCGCCAGCCCCAGCAGCCCAAAGTGCCTGCGGGAGACTGAGAGAGGGGCAGTAAGGGGGGTGTCTGCCCATCCCTGCATCCCTGCTGCCCCCTGTGTCCCCCACAGGACACCCTCTCACCGTCAGGACAGAGCAGCTGCTTCCGAGCAAAGTGCACGTCCGAGCGCCACACCTAGGGAAGGGGCTGGGTGAGGGGGGGGCTGTGTTGGGATCCCCCCCCATGGAGCAGGTGCAAGCACAGGGGTCACCTTACCAGCACACAGCTGCCCAGGACCTGCGCTGGCAGTAGCAGCGCCAGCTCCCCTGGGGCAGAGCCCTCTGGCTGCAAAGCATAAGTGCAGGGTCAGCACAGGTCTGTCGCCACCATGTCCCCCCCAGCCCTGCACCACTCACCTGTGTGACAGTGTAGAGGGGGGCCTCAGGCTCGCACTGCCCACCCCGGCGCTGGCACAGGGCTGCGCTGAAGGCCGCAGGGATGCGGGAGCTGAGATGCAGGCGCAGCTGCAGCCCCCAGACACTCACTGAGACATTCCAGGCAGTCTCTGCAGCCACCGGAGAGAGAGGGGAGGTTGCAGAATGCCCAATAGGATGAGGGGTGCAAGGGACCCCAGTGAGGGCTGTGCTCAGCCCAGGGCTGCCTCCTGCATGTGGGGCTCACCTGGCCGGTGGGGACACTCCACATGGCTGCTATTCCCATAGGAGAACTGAGGGATCAGCAGAAGGGCTGGGTGAGCTGCCATTGCCCACCACAGCCCCCCAACCCCTTCCCAGGTGGTGCCCACCACCCACGGGGGCTTACTCGGAAGCAGAGCTGGGGGTGCACATCCACCTTGTCCAGTGTGTAAACCTGGAATGTGCAAAGAGTATATCACTGTCACCATCCCTAATCCACACAGCGCACTGACACCCCAAGTGCTCACCCGCTGCCCTCGGGGGACCCTCGAGTCCAGTGGGTGCCCCAGCCAGGGGCTTGGTCCTACATCCCATGATACCTCAGGATCAGGACCCCTCACCTGCTCCTCCTCGCTGGCTGTGGAGTTGGGGATGTTGTGGCAGGGTGCAGCTTCATCTGCTGCCTCCCTCCAGCACAGCGTGGCCCGTGGATGCAGGGGGCAGCTGGCACTCAGCGCCATTGCCATCTGGTCCTTGCTGCTGGCACTGTAGTCGTCGAAGCGCACTGAGGACCACAGCTCAGGGCCATCTGCGGGACACTGCATCAGTGGGCTGGGGACACTGGGGGACACCCTTGGGACCCAGCTCCCCTCCCCACAGACACTCACAGGCATCCGGCTGATCACGGAATGGGCAGCGCTTCCTCCGCGGGCTGTCGTGGTGAGGGTAGGAGGCCTGTGGGAGCAGAGTGGTGAGTTGGGGGCAGGATATGCCCCCACTTCTCCTGAGAGGGCAGACAGGGCCTCCAGTGGCTGCAGGGGGAGGGCGACCCACCTCAATGCACAGGCAGGGCACCAGGAACTCATACGGCAGCGAGATGCGGTGGCCACCTGGCACCAGCACCTGCAGCAAGAAGGGAGAATCAGCTGGTGGGGAGTGTGCCCTTCAGTCTGATATGGGGGTGCTGGGGGGGAGCAGAGCTGTTACCTGCCGGTGGAAGGGCCGGGGCAGCTCCTCACACTCCAGGGCCAGCTGATGGCACAGCCGCACCATGAGGGCAGGACCCTCAGGCACCCACACGTCAATAGCCCGTGCCTCAGGGACCCATGAATGGGTGAAGACAGGCCCTGTGGAGCAGGCAGGAGGTCAGCCAGCACCAGCATCCCCCAGGACACCCCCCCAGGGCCCCTCCATTCTCACCGTGTGGCTCAGCGGTGACCAGGCGGCTGCGGCTGAGGGACAAGCCCCGGTCTGGGATGGTGCGGAGGGAGACGAGGATCTGCTGCCCGCTCTCAGCCGGGAAGCAGTCGAACTGCACCTGCCACTGCGGGGAGCAGGGGATCAATGGGCACCGCCAGCTCCGGTGTCCCCCAGCTCCAACACCCACCCCAGACTCACCGTCGAGCTGTCCAGCACCCTGCGCCGCTTCCAGACCTGCAGCCAGCCCGCCCGGTTGGAGCTCAGCTCCAGGAAGGTGAGCTGCAGCCCACGGACACCGCCGAGCTCTGCGAGAAACCGGCGTGGGGTGCTGACACAGGTGGGAGAACGGGGTGAGTGTCCCCCACCGTGGGGGATGCCCGGCCCCGCCACCCCTGCTCGTACCTGCGGCGGGAAGGGCCAGGCGCACCCGCAGGCAGGGCTGGCAGGGCTGCCCGGGCAGGCACAGCCGGGCACTGCTCAGCGACAGGGCGGGCGGCTCCAGCGGCGGCACGGGGCGGGACGGGCGGCGGCAGCGGGGGCGGCTCAACGTCCTGTCGGCTGCGGAGGGAGAGCAAAGGGGGAGCGGCCGTGAGCCGGGGGTCCCGGACGCAATGGGAGCCCCGGGGACCGGGAGCCCTCGGAAGAGGAGAGCCTCGGGAAGGGGAATCCTGGGGAGGAGTACTCGGAAGGGAGGAGCCCAGGTGATTTGGAGTTCTCGCAAATGGGGAGCCCCTGGCATCCGGAGTCCTCGGAAGCGGGGAGCCCCAGCGGCCGGGGAACTCCGGGGACCGTGAGTCTTCAGAAACGGGGAGCCCCGGGAATCCGGAGTCCTCGAAAGCAGGGAGCCCCGGGGATCCGGAGTCCTCGGAAGCGGGGAGCCCCGGGAGCCTAGAAGCCCCGGGGATCGGGACTCCTTGGAAGCGGGAAGCCCCATGCCCCGGAGACCAGGAGCCCCCCCATCCTCCACGACCCGGTAGTGGCGAGCGGGGGAAGCCCCGCCGTCCCGCCGCACCCCGGAGGAGCCGATGTCCCCGGGCAGGGGCAGCCCTGCCCCGCCGCTACTCACCGGTGGCCCGGCACTCCTGCAAGCAAAGACACGGGGGTGAGCGCGGCGCCGCCCGCCCCCCACCCACCTTCCCCGGCCACCTCCCTCCCTTTCCCCGGCGCTCACGAAGTTGGCGGAGACTCTGAGGCGGGTGACGGCGGCCCCCGTGTCGGGCGGCAGCAGCAGCAGCAGCGCGGCGACGGCGGCGAGCAGCACCGTGCGCCCCATGGCCGAGCGCCGCCGCTCCCCGCCCCGCCCCGGGCCGGCCCCGCCGCATTCCTGCACCGGCACGTGCGGCCCCGCCGCCCCCCCCCGCTGCCGGGCGGCGCTTCCTGCGGCGCAGACACGCGTGGGAGCGCGGACAGTGCTTTATTTCCATAGAGCAACACGAAGAGGAAGGGGAACGTACCCCAGGGAACCCTCCACGGCCCCAGCCCTCGGGGATTCTTCCCCCCCAAGTTACATGCGAGCCCGGGGTAGTGGCGTGGCTCAGACACCCGCAGCTTGGTCCCCGGGGGCCCCCCACCCACCGGAGCTGCGCCAGCGCCGCCCCACAGGACTGAGCTGCAGAGCTTCAGCACCTCACGGAGCCCACCCATTCCCACTCATTTCTTCTTCTTCTCCTGCGTGCTAGTGAACCAAGAGTCCAGTAGCTTCTTGCTGTAGTAGAGCTGCCAGCCATGCACCTGCGCGGCCACCACCACCACCAGGTACATGACGGAGACGGCCGAGAAGCCGAAGATGAAGCGGTAAGCTTTGCCGTGGCGGTAGAGCTGCTGCGCCATGGGGAACATCTCCATGGCCCCGTAGATGAGGGGAGCCACGGAGAAGAGGCCGGTGCTGATCATGGAGAGCACCAGGTAGCTGATGTTGTTCCGGGGAAGGAGAGCAGGCCAAGAAGGGAGGGCAGGATGCTGAGCAGGTAGGGGTACTCCCACTGGTAGGGCATGGCCACCTGGTCGTGGGGCAGCAGCTTGAGGTGCCCCACGCACATCTGGGCCAGCAGCAGCAGCCAGATGACCACGTGCGTGTAGATCAGCTTCTTGATCTCCGACTTGAGAGTCACGCTGGGGAGAGAGCGCGGGGCCGTCAGAGCCCGCTGGGGGCCGCGTGTCCCTCCCGGGAGTCCCGGGGGAAGGGACACCTACCTCATCTGGTAGTGCGAGGCCACGCGCTCCCGGTGCTGGAAGTCGCTGCCGTCGGTGCCGGGGGCGCGGGGACCCCCGCGGGAGGCCATGGCGCTGTCCTGGGGAGGCACAGCGTCAGGCGGGGCCGCTCTCCCTGCCCCCCTCCCCAGCGCAGCCCCGGCCCCATCCCCCCGGGGAACCCCGCCCCGGGCCTCCCTCCCGCAGTGACAGCCCTGGGGCCCCTCCCGCGACCGCCCGCCCAGAGCCCCCGGCGGGTGCCGCCGCTCCCCGCCGCGCCGCACCTGAGGGCGGGACGCTCTGCCCGCGCTTCCGCCGCTCTATGGCCGCGGCCGCGGGCTCTCCGGATGCCGGGGCGGCCGCTCGGCGCAGGCGCGGCGGGGCCGCCATGGCGGGCACCGGGGAGCCGCGGCCGCCGCCGCCGCCGCCGCGCGAGGGCTGGCGCGAGCGGGAACGGGGGCGCGCGCCGCGGAGTCAGCGGGGCGGGAGGGGGACACGAGGGGTGACACGGGGTGCGTGGGACACGGCGTGTGTGACACGGGGGGTGGGTGACACGGGGTGCGGGGGACACGGCGTGTGTGACACGGGGGGTGTGTGACACGGGGTGCGTGGGACACGGCGTGTGTGACATGGGGGATGTGTGACACGGGGTGCGTGGGACACGGGGTGTGTGACACGGGGGGGGTGTGTATAGTGCGAGGTGCATGTGAGACAAGGGGATGTGTGACACGGGTGCCCGCGGGCTGTGGGCACGTCGTGTGAGTGCAGAGGGGCTATGGGGTGGGTGTGGGGACACTGTGGGATTGCAGATGTGTGAACACAGGCTGGGGAAGTGTGAGGGTGCAGGGACAGGCAAGGGCATACAGATGTGGGTGCAGGGGCACACCTGGCAAGGCAGGGCAGTCAGTGGGGGAGTGATTTATGGACACACACGGGAAGGTTCAGGGTAGGTAGCTGGAGGAGTCCCACCCGTGCCACCCATCACTCCATCCCCTGCAGGCAGAGGCGGCCACTGGGTCCCGAAAAGACACTGGGGCTGCTGGAGGGCTCCGTGGTGCACCAGGAAGGTACCGGGGGGAGAGGGAGATGGGGGCAATGGAGACAGTGCGGGGGCACATCCTGACCAGGCTTCTCCTTGCCAGGAGCCCTGCTGGCACTGAACAAGCCCCCAGGCCTGCCTGTGCTGGGTGAGTATGGGGCAGGAAGGGGGGTCTGCTGGGGGTACCCGCCTTGGGAGCTCAGCAGGTGCTGATCCCCCAACCTCTCCCCAGGACAGCCTGGGGAGCTGAGCCTGGATGCACTGCTACCAGCGCTGAGACGACGGCTGGGCCTCCCTGCTGAGTTCCACGTGGTGAAGGCTCCTGCCAGGTATGGTTGGAGGTTCCAGGTTGGAGGCCCTGGGGCAGAGCCAGCGGGGCCTTTCCCCCTCTGGGGCTCAGAGCTGCTGTGTCCCATAGGCAGTGCTCTGGCCTCGTCCTCCTGTCCAGCTGTTACCATACCACTAAGAAGCTCCAGCAGTTCTTCACCAAAGCCCGCCAGAGAGGCCAATACCTTGCCACGTACTGGTAAGTCCCCAGGCCCCTGCTGTGCTGGCATGGGGGTCCTGTTCCCTCCTCACCATCTCTCCCTGCAGCGCTGTCACCGTGGGAGTCCCAGCAGAGGCGGAGGGCGAGATCCGCACTGGGCTGTGCTGGCAGCAGCAGGGTGACACTGCCATGGTAAGGGAGTGCCGGGGTGCTGGGGGTGTGCAAGGTGCCATGGGGAGTGCTGAGGGCTGTGCTTCATAGGTGGTGCCAGTGCCAGCCCCGGGACGCCACAGCCTGGCCAGGAAGGAGGTGAAGAGCACCCTGACACGCTACCGGGTGCTTGGTGCCAGGGGAGGCTGTGCCCTCCTCCAGCTCCAGCCCAAGACAGGTGAGTGGCCTCTCAACACCCTGTGCTGCCATGCTGCCCCACCACCACAATCCCACCTTCCCCCTGTGCCTCCCAGCCTTCCCGGAACAGCTCCAGGTACACCTGACGCTGCTGCTGTGCCCGGCCCTGGGTGACCACGAGCACTCCTCCCGCGTGGGCAGTGTCCTGGGGGTGCCCTTCCTGCTGACCCCCGAGGCCGCCCCAACCCGCACACAGGTATGTGGCCAGGGTGGATGCTGGTTGGGGGGTTCAGAACAGCCCCAGGGATCCCACTGACCTACTCACCGACATTGCAGGTGCTGGATGAAGAGTTGCTGTCCCGGCTGGGACTTTCGCCGCAGCAGCTCCATCACCTCCCACTCCACATCCACCTTCAGGAGCTTGTGCTGCCTGAGGGCCCCCTTTGTGCACCCCCACCACCCCACTTCCTGCGGACTCTGCGCTGCCTGGGGCTGCCCGAGTGCCCCAGTGCTGCAAGAGGATCCCCACCCCACAGCTCTCTGTCAGCCCATTAAAATCCCCACCTGCAGCTAGAGTGGCTCAAAGCCCAGTTCTTTTCTTGCCACACACAGGATGTGTTTCCCTCCACTGTGCCCCTGGCATTACTGGGAGCACCAGCTCTGCCACCCCTCTGTACCCACCCTGGTTCCCAGTGCCAGGGCACAGGGGCATCACCACCACGACAGGTGGTGTCTGGCAGTGTCTGCCCCTGCTGTGTCTGGCAGGGGTGACCGCAGGCAGGCAGGAGTGGAGGCAGCTTTTCCTGCCTGCTCTGTGCCCCAGCAGCCCCAGTTCCTGCCTGTAGCCCAATCCTGGGAGCAGCCCTGGCCCTGCCCACAGCTCCCACACACAGAAGGTCCAAGCCAGGCTCCTTATTACAGAAGTATTTTAAAGTGCGTATGAGGGATGAAGTGGGGACCACGACACAGCAGTGGGGGTGCACCGTGGTGGGAGGGAGCTGAGTACTGCCATGCTGGCCCAGCAAAGATGGGCAGGGTGCTGTCCCCTCCTGGGAATGTCTCAGTATCCCAGGTCTTCTGTGTCCCATTGGGAACTGCCACGTGCCTCTGCTCTGGGCCAGGCGTCACAATGATCTTTGCAGGCAGATGTAGGCGCGGTGGCCTGGCAGGAGGGAAGGAGGGGACACAGCCCATGGCTAGCCAGGGGTTGCTGGGTGCTCCCCAGGGCAGTGGCACAGGCACTCTATCCAGGGGACAGACCCTGATCAGGGGCTGAGTGGCCTGGGGCTGCCTGTGTGGGTGACGGAGCCGTGGCAGCCCCTGGCTCCCAGCAGAGCGGCTCCGGGGCTGTGGCGATGCTGAGAGGCCAGAGCTGGAGTGGCTCCATTGCCGCAGAGGAGGCTGCTTCCCTGTTGCTGCTCTGGGCTTGGGGACCTGGGTGTCTCTGGCCCCTGGGGACATGGGGAGCCTGGGGACACTGAGCACAGTGGTGGAGGGTTGATGCTGTGCTCGCTGTGGTGTCCGTGTGTTTCTGGCCCTTGGGGACACAGGAAGCTTGGGGGCACTGGGCATAGTGGTGGGGGATTGATGCTGTGCTCGCTTGGGTACATGAGTGTCTCTGGCCCCTGGGGACACAGGAAGCTTGGGGGCACTGGACACAGCGATGGGAGATTGATGCTGTGCTCGCTTGGGTACATGAGTGTCTCTGGCCCCTGGGGACACAGAGAGCTTGGGGGCACTGGGCACAGTGGTGAGGGGGCGATGCTGTGCTCGCTGGGGCATCCCGGTGTCTCTGGCCCTTGGGGACATGGGGAGCTTGGGGGCACTGGGCACAGTGGTGAGGGGCGATGCTGTGCTCGCTGGGGCATCCCGGTGTCTCTGGCCCTTGGGGACATGGGGAGCTTGGGGGCACTGGGCAGAGTGGTGAGGGGGTGATGCTGTGCTCGCTGGGGCACCCCAGTGTCTCTGGCCCTTGGGGACACGGGGAGCTTGGGGGCACTGGGCACAGTGATGAGGGGGCGATGCTGTGCTCGCTGGGGCACCCTGGTGTCTCTGGCCCTTGGGTACTGTGTGGCACTGGGCACAGTGGTGGGGGACTTGACCTGAGCTCGATGCTGTGCTGGCCAGCACTTCTTCAGGGAACAGCCTTTGACTATCAGCTTCACACGCCCAGACAGAGGCCTGGGCATAGCCACCTGTGGGGAGACAGCAGGGAGTGGGGACTTGGAGTGCCCAGGGTGTGCCTGCCCCCCAGCTCCCCAGCCTACCTCCTTGTAGATGAGCTCAAAGGCTCCAATGGAGCAGGTGGGGTTGTCCTTGCGGTCGAGCACGAGGCGCAGCGTGTCCCGCTGGACGTTGGCACAGAGCCGTCGGGTCACAGCCGAGGAGGGGCTCATGGTGGGGCAGGAGTTGATCTCCAGCAGCCAGGGCTGGCAGTCCTCCCCAACGAGAAAGTCGGCCCCATAGAGCTCAAAGCTGCTCTTGCGGAAGCCCACCTGGTCCTGGGCGCTACGCAGGGCGTTAAGTATTGCCGCCTTCATGCCAGGCACTATCACCTGATGCCAAGCATCCGCTTGCCCCAGCCATGCCAGGTATGCCTGGAACTGCCTGCTGGACCAGACCCTGTCGTGGGGCACGCGGGGGTCCTGGTCTGGTGACGTCTTGTACCACTTCTGGACGGAGACGTTGCAGAGGTGCCTGGCACTGGGGTAGGGAGAGGGGGGCTGAGATCAGTCTGAGGGGCTGGGATGTGGGGAGCCAGGGTGGGGGGCACTCACCGCTCCAGGCAGTGCAGGGAGAAGGGCCGGGAGCAGAAGCGCAGGTAGCAGTCTCCGTAGAACCAGACGGTCAGCGGCTTCCAGTCAGTCACCACAAACCACTGCCGGATGTCGAATTTGGTGCCAAAGATAGTCAGCAGCCGCTCCAGGTACTTCTGCACCACCCACTTGCCCTCCCGCACCGAGGGTGCTGTGCAGCCCCGCGCCAGCCGCAGCACCTCCTCCAACCGTGTCGCACAGACGATGCCTGGGGAACAAGGGCACAGTGATGGTGGGACCCCTCCTCTGTGGGGAGCCCGTGTGTGTCCCCCGCTTTCCCCAGCCTTACCCCTGCCTTGCGAGTCGGCACCAGGCTTGAGGATCCAGACATTGAGCTTGCCCTCCATGCTGAACTGTGGCAGCTGCTCTGCCAAACGCCGCAGCAGGTCCTGGCACCGCTCCCTCTGTGCCCCACTCAGCACCAGCCCGGCTCCCTCACTGTGGGGTGACATGGGGAGCTCAGCACCAGCCCCACCAATGTCCCCTGCCCCCTGTCACGCTTGGCACTCACTGTGCCACGCAGTAGTAATCCTGGAGGAAGCGGTTCCAGTCAATGCATGTCCTGCAGGGGAACGGGGTGCCCCTGTCAATGTCCTGGTGCCTCAGAACGCCCAGGTGCTGCTCACAGACCTCCAGGGCCTCCTCCACCAGCTGGGGGTACAGGGGAGATCCTGACCCTGCTATGGATGGCATGGGGTGAGAGACATGGCTGCTGTGCCAGCCTTGGAGCCAAAGCAGCACAGAGCCTCCCTCTGGGACCTGTGGCTTTGGTAGCATGGGGAGAGGGTGGGGGGTGGAGCACCCATAAGGAGCATTTATGGGAGGGAGCAGGGGATCCCAGGCCACAGCCATGAGCAGAGACTCAGCCTCCACGCTCAGGCCCTGGACCTGTTCCTGCCATCAGCCCCAGCTCCATGCACTCACCTGGCCCGTTGTCAGAGCCTGGGGGCTCCTCAGTCCTCATCAGCCTGTCCCCAACCTCTTCCAGGGCCAGTTTGAGCAGACTGCGAGCTGCTGTCAGGCGGAAATCATCTGCAAGAAGGAAGCATTGTCCCTAATCAGTCATGCACAGGATGTGGGAAGAGTGGGAGCACAGGAGGGCAGCAGCTCACCGATGAAAGCTTCCCGCTCGTCCATGGTCCCCAGCCGATAGCACCGTGGGAAAAAGGTGTTGGGGTCTGCTTGCTCAATCCAGGGCAGGTTTTGCAGACTGAGGCATAGCCCCTCCTGTTTAGAGAAGGTTGTCAATCCCTAGTGAACCCACCCCCCCACCTTGTGTCCCCCCTCTCCAAGGGCTCCAGGCCCCCACCTTGGTGGTGAAGGCACCCACTCGGGCATAGTGGTTCACCACCTGGTCCTGGTCCAGCAGCTGAGGGTCAACAGCGCTGAGGTAGCTGGCCCAGATGAAGTTTGGCACTCGGTCCCGCACCAGGTAGGACTGTGAGGGAAGGGGCCAGAGTGGGACACGGAGCCCCCGTCCCACCCTCATCCCCAGGGTGTGCCCCATGCCTGGGGATCCCAGGGAAGGGCAGTGGGGGCTGTGGCAGAGCTCAGCCCTCTCAGCTAACCATGAGGTCATGGATGCCATTGTGGTCTTCATCGCACTGCTCTTCCTCCTCTTTCTCCTCCTCCTCCTCAGTGGGTGGCCATGGGGAGTGCAGTGGCTCTGTGATCTCCAGGACAGGCTGTGCCCCACCACGTGGGTTCAGCACTGCCTGCCTCTGCTCATCACCATCATCCCTTGCCTCTGTCTCCAGCTGCTGTTTCTGTTGGTCGCCACAATGCTGCTCCAGCTGTCTGCCCACACTGGGGGGCTTCCTCTCCACCCAGCCACGGGCCCGCAGCAGCCTGCGGATGATGGGGTAGGGGCCCTGCACCATAAAGATCTTCTTCTCCTGCACAGACACCAGAGGGCTCAGCCTGCCCCAGTCCTGGTCCCTCCTGAGCCAGACATGCAATAAAGGCAAGTACATGACATTTGGGGAGGTGTGAAATCAGGCCCCTCACCTTAATGGCTGTCTCCACATGCAGCTTGGCCTTCTTGAGCAGCTCAAGGTGAAGCCAGCGCTGGTGGCCATCCTGGTGGCCCGAGGTGGTGGCTGATGCCAGCCGTGTGAGCACAGCCCTGTCTGACCTCGCTGGCCCCGTGTCCCCAGCACGGGGTGGGGCAGAGCGAGGGAGAGGGCGCTGCCCTGCCTGCCTCTGCCTGGCTGAGCCTGGGGCCCCTGACGTGGCATTGTCTGACATGCCAGGCTTTGCACCAGCGCCCCGGGTGCCCTGCACAGCCCTGGGATGTCCCTTGTTCCCAGCCTTCTGGGCCCGGGGACTGCTGGGGTGTGCCCTGCTCCAGCGCTGTCCCTGGCTGGGGGGCTGTGTGCCCGCAGTGCTGCTCTCGGTGCTACACTGTTCCATGGTAGCCTGAGGGCGAGGGGAGCTGTGGGTGGCTCTGCCTCCTCTGTGCCAAGCAGGTCGTCCTAGTCCCCTGTCCCATCTGGGGACTGGAGCAGGTGTCCAGTGCAGAATTGGCCCCCAGCCCCAGCACCACTGTGATATTAAAATGCAGGCTGTGGCCCCCAACCCCCAGTACCACCGCGAGGTCAGAGTGCAGGATGTGGCCCCCAGTTCCAGCGTGATGTCAAAGTGCAGGATGTGACTCCCCTCACCCCCAGCAGTGCTGTAACGTCACAGCCCCAGCCCCCACAGTGGCTCTACTGCCCTCCAGGCAGGATAAACAGCCCCCTGTGCCCACAGCCTCCACCGCCCCCCCTCAGACTGCACATACCCCCCCAAGCCCTCTTGTGCCTCAAACACAGAGGAACCCCCCAAGCCCCTTGGTGCCCCCAGGCCCCCTTCAAGTCCTTTCATATCCCCCCACTACCCCTATGGCCCGCCCCGACACCATCAACACCCACCCCTCGGTTTGCCGTTGCCATGGTGCTGTACTCCTCCAGTTTCACGCCCCTTCCCGTTCCATGATCTGAACCCCCTCCCCCCGGCCGCGGTTCCCCCCATCCCTGGTGCGGCGAGGGAGGAGTCGGAGGCGGTGGATACAGCAAACGAGACCGTTTAAAAAAACACGACGAGACAGGGGCAGCGCCGGGGCCGCGCTGCTGCGAGCGGGGGCTGCTCCCACCCGGCCGCCCCGCCCAGACAGGCGGGGCCCGGCCCGGCCCGGCCCGGCCGTTCTCGGGGAGCGGGAGCAGGCACAGGCACGGTGCCCGCGGGCACAAGCATGGGGGAGCCACGGGGTCCTGCACCACGGCCTAAAACTGGAAAGGACAGAAGACACGCAGCTGTCAGTGCCTGCCTGGGGCTCTCACCGCCCTCCTGGTAGCCAGGTGGTGCTCACAGACATCCACACTCAGCTTCTCCCGCTGCCTCCCCCAGGGACTGCACATCCACCACAGTGCCCACCAAAAGGGCCTGGGACCCCAGGGCTGCTGCTGCCCCTGAGTGCACTCTGGGGGTCTCAAAAGCTGGCACTTCACGAGCAAAGAGGGTACAAGCACCCTCGGCACCCTCCCCTCCCTGTTCCCAAGAGGGTCCGTGGGTAAAATGTCACCGCTGTCCTCACTGAGGTGACAGGAGAGCTCTGGGCACAAGGGCCACCCTGGCTTTGAGTGCCACACCCACTCCCAAAATCAGGGACCCGCCCCCTCCCATTCCAGAGCCTCACATTCTTAAGGAACTCCTCTGCCACGATGCGGGCCCTGGCATTGACAGAGAGCTTCATCTCGCTGATTTCCTTGTCAATCTCCTCCATGAAGTGGATGACAAAGTCCACCAACTTGTGCTTGTACATCTGCTCCGTGTGGAAGTTTGTGATCAAGAAGCTGATGTCGTAGCCCTGGGAAAGAGAGAAGTGCCCTGGGGATCAGCGCCCAAGTCACTGACACGCAAACTTGCATCCCAGCTCTGCCCTGGACACCCTCCCAGCACCAGGAACAGAGCTGGGGGCTGCTCTGCCCCCTCCCTGCCCCCTCACCTCCACGGGCTTCCTGCGCAGGATGAAGAAGTTTTCAGCCCTCATCATCATGAAGCGCATGAATTTGTGGCACAAGATCTTCTCGATCTCATCAGCCTGGGGAGAGAAAAAGGAAGTGAGGCTTCCCCCGAGGCAGGAGCTGCCAGCCCCTGCCCACGCCCCCTCACCTGCTTCACGGCGATGCTGACACGCACGGAGTTGATGGAGCCCTCGATGAGCACCTTTTCCTTCTCGTTCCTGCTGATGATCACCGGCTGCAACAGCAGCTCTTTGCTGCTCCTGCAGAGGAAGGGCAGGGGTGACTCAGAAGGCAGAGTTTACTGCTGAGGAACAGGGAAGCGGAGCTGCGGGGATCACAGAGATGGGGGGGATTGCAGCAGGATGCTTCCCGTACCCCCCGGGACGTCCCTCCCCAGGGCAGACCCTCGCTCGTCCCCAGGCTGAATCCCCTCCTCCTTCCCGCAGCTCCCAGGCTCCCTGCCGGCACCAGCGCTGTGCCCGAGGGCCGTGGGGTGCCCGGAGCACGGCAGAGACCGGCCCGCGTTTCCCGGGGCGGGCAGCGGGGGCCCCGCAGGGCTCCCCCGGTACCCCCTCCCCGTACCTGACTTCCACCTCGGGCTTGTTGTGCCGCTCCACCACCTGCGAGGAGAAGTTCTCCAGGCACAGCGCGGCCTGCAGCGTGGCACGCACCGCGTTCAGGTACGGGCGCAGCGTGGCGGTCTGCGGGGACACGGCGGCGCCGTCAGACCGCGCACCGGGGACCGGCTGCTCCCGGGTACCGCCTCCTGCGCCAGCCCCCGGCCCGCAGCCCCCGGGCCCCCATCACCCCCCGCTGGTGCCGATGCCAGCCCCGGTGCCGGTGCCGGTGCCGTCCCCCCGCCCATCCCGGTCCCCCCGCCCTACCATGGCGGTGGCGGCAGCGCTCCGGTCCCGGCAGGCGGAAGTGGCCGATCACCTCTTCCGGGATGCGCGGCACCTCCCACTGCGGCGGGAGGGAGGGGGGGCGGGCAGAGAGCTCCCGCCCCGCGGCCCGGCCCCCACCGCGGCGCGGAGCGGGATGGCGACACCCCGCGCGCTTTCCCCCCCGCGCCGCGCCGCGCTTGGTACGCGCCTGTCAGCTCTTCCATATTAGGGCAGGGAGACGGAGGGCGCGTTGGGCCAATGAGCGTCGGCGCGGGGCGCGGCGCGGCCAATGGGCGGCGAGGGGCGGGGCGGTCGCGGGGCCGGAAGGGGTTCGCGGCCCAGGCTGGGCCCCCCCCCCGTCGCGTCCCCGCCGAGCCCCGTGAGCCCAGCCCGGGATCTCACCCCGCGATCCCGCCCCGTGAGCCCAGCCCGGGATCCCGCCCCGTGAGCCCAGCCCGGGATCTCACCCCGCGATCCCGCCCCGTGAGCCCACCCCGCGATCCCGCCCCGTGAGCCCACCTCGCGATCCTGCCCTGGGACCCCGTCCCGGGTCGCCGCAGCGGCCCGGTGCTTGCCCCAGGTTCCCCCGGTGCTTGCCCCAGGTTCCCCCGGTGCTTGCCCCAGGTTCCCCCGGTGCTTGCCCCGGGTTCCCCCGGTGATCCTGCGCGCGGGTCCCTCGCAGCCCCGATGCCCCCGGGCCCCCGTAGCCCCCTGCTCCGCTCCCCTCTCCCCCGGGTTCCCCTGTCCCCAGCGCCTCTCGGTGCCCCCGGAGCCCCCCAGTGCCCGGTGCCCGCCGCCATGAGCGAGCTGAAGGACTGCCCGCTGCAGTTCCACGACTTCAAGTCGGTGGACCACGTGAAGGTGTGCCCCCGGTACACGGCTGTGCAGGCCCGCTCGGAGGATGACGGCATCGGCATCGAGGAGCTGGACACGCTGCAGCTGGAGCTGGAGACACTGCTCTCCTCCGCCAGCCGCCGCCTCCGCGTCCTGGAGGCTGAGACACAGGTGCTGGGACCGTGTAGGGTCAGGGACAGGCTCCCTGTCTCGCTCCTTCCTGCCTAGGGGCTACCCCTGGCCCGCCCCTGCCCAGCCCTGGGCATGGGACCTGATGGGGCATCGACTCTCTTCCAGATCCTGACGGACTGGCAGGATAAGAAGGGCGACCGGCGGTTCCTGAAGCTGAGCAAGGACCACGATGTGGGCACATCTGTCAAACATGGGAAGCCCAAGAAGCAGAAGCTGGAGGGCAAAGGGGGCCATGGGACTGGGCCTGGCCCTGGCCGGCCCAAGTCCAAGAACCTGCAGCCCAAGATCCAGGAATACGAGTTCCAGGATGATCCCATTGACGTGCCCCGCATTCCCAAAAATGATGCTCCAAACAGGTGTGCGGGTGTTGGGGGACATTGGGATTATCTGTCTCCTTCCTTGAAGCATGCAGCACAAAGGCTGAGGGAAAAGGTACCCCGGGGAAGGGGGCCATGTGTCAGCTCCCATGTGCTCCCCTGCAGCTCTCCCTCACAGTCCATCCGCCTCTGCAGGTTCTGGGCATCAGTGGAGCCATACTGTGCCGATCTCACTAATGAGGAGGTCAGAGTCCTGGAGGAGCTGCTCAAGCCACCTGAGGATGAGGCTGAGCATTACAAGGTGAAAAGCTCCTGAGCCCATCCTGTGCCCTCTCTCCCCATCCCCTCCAGTACCTCACAGCAAGTGTTCCCACCTGGGATGCTGCCGTAGTGCTGGGGAGGTGGGAGGCAAGGCAGAGTCTCCAGGAGCTATGCTGAGCCCTGCTCTCACAGATCCCACCACTGGGGAAGCATTATTCCCAGCGCTGGGCACAGGAGGACCTGCTGGAGGAGCAGAAGGATGGAGCCCGGGCAGCAGCTGCTGCTGACAAGAAGAAAGGTGTCCTGGGGCCACTGACTGAGCTGGACACCAAAGGTGCCCCCATCCCGCCTCTGCCTTTGCCCAGAGGGGCTGGGAACACTTGTACCCAGTAGAGCCAAGCCTCAGCCCCAGGGGCTGAGACTGCCCTGCCTGACTGCTCACCTCTGTTGGGTCACCTTTGGGGTTGTTTATCTTCCTCTTCCACTTCCTCCCAGATGTCGATGCCCTCTTGAAGAAGTCGGAGGCCCAGCATGAGCAGCCAGAGGACGGGTGTCCCTTCGGTCCCCTGACGCAGCGTCTCCTGCAGGCCCTTGTGGAGGTGAGAGGGCTCTGTGGGGCCATGCCTGTGGGGTAGCACCGTCACAACCCACCACTAACCCTTACCTTTCCCTCATGCTCCCTCTGCTAGGAAAACATCATCTCCCCCGTGGAGGACTCCCCCATCCCTGAGATCGCCGGCAAGGACTCGGGAGCCGACGGTGCCGGCACGTCTCCCCGCAGCCAGAACAAGCCCTTCAGGTGAGCGGCTGAGGCAGACCCAGAGCTCGGCGCTGCCCGTGGCTGCGCGGAGCACAGCGCTGGCTCCCTGCCCCCGTGAGTCGCGGGGAGCAAAGGGCGCATGGTGGGCAGCGGCCGCTCTCCACCCTGGCAGCGTCCCCCACACCAAGTCCCTGGAGGGGCGGATCAAGGAGGAGCTGGTGGCTCAGGGCCTGCTGGAGTCAGAGGACCGCCCAGCCGAGGACTCGGAGGATGAGGTGCTGGCGGAGCTGCGCAAGAGGCAGGCGGAGCTCAAGGCCCTCAGCGCTCACAACCGCACCAAGAAACACGAGTTGCTGCGGTGAGAGAGAGGGGGCAGGAATGGGGGCAAGCAGGGGGCTGCCTGGCGGGGACTGACACCCCTGTGTGCCCCCCAGGCTGGCCAAGGAGGAGCTGCACCGGCAGGAGCTGCGACAGCGTGTCCGTATGGCCGACAACGAGGTGATGGATGCCTTCCGCAAGATCATGGCTGCCCGGCAGAAGAAGCGCACGCCCACCAAGAAGGAGAAGGACCAGGCTTGGAAGACCCTGAAGGAGCGGGAGAGCATCCTCAAGCTGCTGGATGGGTAGCAGGGGCTGAGGACCCCCCTCTCTGTGTGGACCTCACCTGCAGGGTTCTGCCCTGCCTGTGCTCTGGCTGTACCATGCCAGTGCAGGATGGAGCGGGCGCAGCCTTCTGCATGCCCTGGGCCTGCTCAGCCTCCTCACCTGCGAGACAGAGCCTGCCTGCTGTCTCCTCCCTGAGTGGGGCTTTCACTGATTCAGGCTTGGAACCCTGTGGAGTTGCGGGGATCTCTCCCGTGGACAGCCTCCCCCAGCTGGTGGCTTCTGCTCCCACGTTACCCTGTGCTCCCCCTGTAACTCAGGTGACATCAGCCAGGTCACTGCAGGGGCCAGATGTGGTGGCTCCTGCAGTGTGGTTCCCACAGTCCCTTGTCCATCTGTCACTGCGGGTGGGGAGATCCCAACGCCCACAGGGGAGCTGGGGGGAAGGTGGGGAGGGAAAGGGGCTGGAAGGGCGGTGGGCCCGGTGGGTGGGTGGGTGGCCGAGCTCTCCATGTACCGGTGGCTACTATTGCCACAACCGTGGGCAATAAAGGCAGCTGTGTGCAGGTAATGGTGTGGTGACATCGGGGACCAGCCCTGCCCTGGGGTGGGTGTGGGCGGGGGAGGGTCCTGGCGGTGCTGGGCTCAGTCGGGGGGAGTGGCGAGGCGTGGCAGGGTCGAGTCTGTCCTGCAACCCCACGCGTGTCTACCCAAGGCATCCATCCACTCGCATCCATCCCCACAACAGACTCGGGGGGCGGGGGGATGTCACCGCCGCGCGCGCGCCCCCTCCCCGCTCCCCCCGCCTGTCCACGCGCCCCCGCGGTCACGCGTGTCCCCCCGGCCCCCGGCGGCCGAACCGCCCCCTCCCATTGGCGGCGGCCGGGCGCGCGCCCGCCCCCCGCCGTGACGTCAGCGCTGTCCGGCGGCGCCGCGCCGGGAGGAGTCGCCGCTGCTCCGCCGCGGGCCCGGGGCCGGGGCCGTCGGTAAGGGCGGGGCGGGGCGGGGGCGGCGTGCCCGCGCGCGGACACCGTGCCCACGCGCGGCTCCGAGTGGCGGCGGCGGAGCTGCGCGACACAACCCGCGCTGCGCAGCTCCGGCTCCCACGCGTGTCCCGCCCGGCGCGGCTGTGCCAGCTGGCAGGCGTGGGGAATGCCGGTGGAGACCCCCCCCTCCACGCACCCACGCGCGTGTCTGGGACCCTCCCCCTGCCTGCCCGCCCCGAGCCCGCCCCGTGCCCTCCCCATGGGTGGGCAACCGGAGGGTGGCTGCCTGTGTCCCCAGTGGGACATCCCGTGCCAAAACTCCTGCATGGCACAGCTTGTTCCCATGACCCCACGATGACAATCACGTCCCCTTAGTACCCTGTTACCTCCCCCGTGTCCCCACACCAATCCAGCATGCTGACACCCTGTCCCCACCCTGTCCCCCACTCGTGTCACAGGTGGGAGTGGGTGGCCCCACGGGGCACCATGCCGCTGGGGCAGGATGGGCCCAGCTGGAAGAAGAGGACCGAGGACATTCGGCAGATCTACGACTTCCGAGACGTCCTGGGCACGTGAGTCGCAGGCTGGGGGACACACTGGTGACAGCACTCACCGTGATGGGTCTGGCCCTCCAGCTTTGCCAGACCTGCCAAGTGGAACCGGCTCAAACCCTGGCCCGAGGTGGGGCTGGCACATGCGGGGAGACACTGTGTGGCACAGGTGCAGGTGCCACCTCCCACTGGTGCTGGCTGGTTCCCCCTGCTGTGCCACGGGTGGCTGTGCCATGCCCAAGGACGGTCCCCCAGCTGCCAGAGGGGTTCCCACTGGTGCCCACGGCACTGTAAGGCTCTTAGGCTGGATTAGCAGGTTAATTACGTCAAGGCTTAGGGCCCGTCGCAGCGCAAACATGCTACCTGTCACTTCCCCACTTGGGCACTGCCAACAGCTCTGTCTGGCTCCTAACAGGCACCTCAGCCCTTGGGTGACCCTGGGTGCTGCAGGATGGCATGGCGTGGGGCTGCCAAAATCCACATGGGGGCTCAGCCCTAGCATGGCTCATCCCCGGCAGCGTCACGGCCTTATCCTGCCTGATGGGATGGTGCAGCCATACCGGGAGGGACAAGTGGTGCCAGGCGTTCTATTGCTGGCAGGGTCCATGACCAGCCATCCCAGCAGACGGCTCCCACTCACTTTTCTCCTATAAATAGCTGGACTTTCTGCCTGTCACCATGACAATCGTGGCATGGTGGCACTGGCTGGCTCTGGCTGGCATCCCCCCTCTGCCCTGCTCATCCCTTAACCCCCCCAGGGGGGCCTTCTCCGAGGTGGTCCTGGCAGAGGAGAAGGCGACACGGAAGCTGGTGGCCATCAAGTGCATCGCCAAGAAGGCGCTGGAGGGGAAGGAGACCAGCATTGAGAATGAGATCGCCGTCCTCCACAAGTAGGGGATGTCCCAGCACCAGGGTGGGGGTCCTGCCCCATGGCACCCCCACAACCTGGCACAGCTCCCCACTGCCAGCACCCATTGCCGCGTGTTATTGCCAGTGCCCAAAATAGCCGGCAGCGCGTGATGCCCTACGGCATGGAGCCTGGCTGCTCCCTGTCCTGTGGGGGCTGGGGTGGGGGCAGGCGGGAGCCCCCTCACGCCCCTGCACCTCCCCCTGCAGGATCAAGCACCCCAATATCGTGGCCTTGGATGACATCTACGAGAGTGGCACTCACCTTTACCTCATCATGCAGCTGTGAGTGTTGCTGGGAGGCTCCAGAGGGGTCTTGGCTGGGAGGGGGGACACTGTGCTGATGGGTTCTGCCCATCCCTGCAGGGTCTCTGGGGGGGAACTCTTCGACCGCATCGTGGAGAAGGGCTTCTACACCGAGCGAGATGCCAGTGCCCTGATCCGGCAGATCCTCGATGCTGTCAAGTACCTGCACGACATGGGCATCGTCCACCGCGACCTGAAGGTGAGCAGTTGGGGTGGGGGGTACACACGCAGCACCCTCATGGTGATGGCAGGAAGGGAACCCAGTGTTGCACGACCCTGAACCCCCCCTCCTCGCAGCCCGAGAACCTGCTCTATTACAGCATGGACGAGGACTCCAAGATCATGATCAGCGACTTCGGGCTGTCGAAGATTGAGGGCTGTGGCAGCGTCATGTCCACGGCCTGTGGCACTCCTGGCTATGTGGGTGAGTGCCTGCTGTAGGCTGCCACCACCCTGAGTGTGGGGTTGGGGTATCCCACAGATTGGGGTCCCCCCTCAACCCTGCCATCTCCCCCAGCCCCTGAGGTGCTGGCACAGAAGCCTTACAGCAAGGCAGTGGATTGCTGGTCCATCGGGGTCATCGCCTACATTCTGTACGTATCCCCGCTCCCATTCCTTCCTATCCTGGGGGTCTGGCCTCTCAGGGCTGCCCAGGGCCAGCATCCCCTCCCCCCTACCCCCCCAGGCTCTGTGGTTACCCTCCTTTCTATGATGAGAACGATGCCAAGCTCTTCGAGCAGATCCTGCGGGCTGAGTATGAGTTCGACTCACCTTACTGGGATGACATCTCAGACTCAGGTGAGCTGGGATCACCGGGGTGGTGAGGGCTGGGAGCCTGGCACAGTGTCAACAGTACCCAAGGGGGCACAGACACTCACAACTGCTCAATGCCCTGTCACAGCCAAGGACTTCATCCAACACCTGATGGAGAAGGACCCCAGCAAGCGCTTCACCTGCGAGCAAGCCCTGCAGCATCCCTGGTAAGGGGTGACCTGCCATGATCTATCCCTTCTCTGGCTCACCCCACAGCAGCCATGGGGTAGGAGGGCCCCAGCTGATCCCCATCTCGCTTCAGGATCGCTGGGGACACAGCCCTGGACAAGAACATCCACCAGTCAGTGAGTGAACAGATCAAGAAGAACTTTGCAAAGAGCAAGTGGAAGGTGAGTTGGGGGTGCTGGGGGGTGCTGGGGGACACAGAGGTCCCCCAGGCACCCCGTGTCAGGTGACAGACACTGTGGGGTTGGCAGCAAGCCTTCAACGCCACGGCAGTGGTGAGACACATGAGGAAGCTGCAGTTGGGAACCAGCCAGGACATCCCTGGACAGACAACTCCCACCAGCCCTGGCGAGCGGTTGGTGGGAGCGACCAGCAATGGTGAGCCCTGACACCCCAGTCCCCATCCTGCACCCCCAGGGCTGCTGCCAGGATCTCACCCTGCTCCTCCCCACAGGGTCGGACTGTGGGCGCTCACCCACAAGCAGAGGTCAGCGCCTCTTTCCAGACTGAGCATGGCCCCACGTAGCCACATCCAGGGGTGACCAAGGGGGTCCAGCCCTCCCATGGGCACCGTGTGGGGTGGGGGCCCTACAGTGCAGGAGCAGCAGGGGACAGTGTGGGGGCACCCTGCTGTGCTTGCCCTGGGTTTGTGGGGCTGCACTCACTGCAGGCTCACATCGGGGCAGGGGCACCCCACGGAGCACCCCCAGCCTGGGGCTGTGTCCCGGGCCCCTTCCCGCATCTGTTTCCTCCCTCCGTCCACGCCTGGCCTGGCACTGTCCCACACCCCCACCCCCAGCATGTTCAAGGAGAATTTTCCAAATGGATGTTTCTATTTTATTGCTTGTAATAAAGGCAAGAGGCCAAAGGTGCTTGGCTCAGCTCTGCCCTGGGGGAGCTGGACACAGCCCTGATTCTCCCCAGCCTCACTGCCCAGAGCAGCAGCTCCCTCCACACACACACTGGGCAGGGGACAGACACAGCCCACCCCCCTCCATCCCAGGCTGGCAGCAGGTGCAGTGTCCCACTCAAGCCACTGTTCCTCCTTGGGTGTCCCTAGGGGGGCCCATCCCCATGGCAGTCCTGGCTTCGGCTCTCCCAGGCCTGATCCCGGCTGCTGGCTGGCTCCTGGCCCTTGCGGAGGTCAGCACAGAACAGTACCTGGAATGGACAGAGACGATGGGGTGGGCCTGGCCAGGATGGGGGCGAGGGCTGAGCCCCGAGCTGCCTGAGAGGGGCGTACTCACTGCCTGTGCCCAGCCGGCGCGGGGGCCCCACAGCCCCCGAAAGAAGTCACCTGCGGAGAGAGGGTGAGTGCCAGCATGGGGGACACAGGCACCATCCCTGAGGTCCCATGTCAGGGCCCAGCCCTGCCCTCACCGATCTCCTGGTAGGCCCGGGGGGTCAGGCTCTTGCCGCCCACTGCCACACCATAGCGCTGCCGTGCAATGTGCCAGACGTGGGTGTCCACTGGCACTGCCTCGGCCTTGTCCAGGGACAACAGGCAGACGCAGTCAGCCACCTGCCACCAGCAGCACTGTCAGGCCCTGATGCTGGACCCCACTCCACATCCCACCCCTGCTCTGGCACCCACCTTGGCACCTACACCGGGCAGGGTGCACAGCACCTTCCTGGCCTCGGAATAGGGCGCAGTGCGGAGCTGGCACAGCCCTTCAGCACCAAGCCCCTCGGTGATGGCCCGCGCGCTCCCGCTGACAAACTTGGCCCGGTACCCAAAGCCCAGCGCCCGCAGCCGGGCCTCGGCATCAGCGCCTGCGTGGACACAGCACAGGGATGTGGGTGGGCACAGGCGAGGCCATAGTAGGGTGGCAGTGGTGGGGTGACAGTGGACCTGTGAGCGCCGAGAGGGACGGGAAGGCGTGGAACGGCCGGGCGTCGATGCAGCAGAGGTGGCGGCCGAAGGCCTGGCAGAGGCGTTCAATCATGGCAGTGATACGGGAGATGTGGTTGTTGGAGGTGCAGATGAAGGAGAAGAGGCACTCGATGGGGTCCTGCCGCAGTACCCGCACCCCTGCGGGCGGGACACAGTGAGGGGACACTGTGTGGCTCCTGTGGCTGTCTCTTGGGGCCCCATTGGAGCCACCTCACCTGGGAAGTCCTTGGCCACCTTGCGGAAGAGGGGATCGGCCGCCTCCCACTCGCGATACAGGGCCGACAGACCCACGTCCAGCTGGAAGTAGTCACGCAGGATTCGGTCCGTCTCTGCAGCATCCAGTTTGGCTGCTTTGGCAGGGCACCCATCCCGTTCCTCCTCCTTGTGCTCATCCTCTTCGCCGTACACCGTGTACCAGAGCCGGTCCCGGTCCTGCCGCAGTGTCCAGACGCGCCCCCCCAGCACGCCCGTCCAGGCCCCCGGGCTGCTCTCCCACCACCTGCCGCACACGGGCAGGTCGGGGCGGGCCCGAGCGCGCAGGGCCGGGCCGGGGGTGCCGGGACCCCCGTGCTGGCTCACCGGAAGCTCTGCCCCGAGGACAGCACCAGGTCCAGGCGCAGCTCGGCCGGCGGGCACGGCAGGCAGCGCCACAGCGACGGGCATGCGGACGGGACGTCTCGCAGCTTCATGGGGGCCGGGAGCGCGCCCCTACCCGGCCCCGCCGCTCCTCAACACCACCCGGTCCGTGCCCCTGGTCCCGCACCGGCGCCTCCGCTCCCCACCACAGATAAACCCCGCACGGGCGGGGCTCCCGCAACTCCCCGCCCCGGTTTCCGCCCGCCGACGGAAGCGCGGCCGGCGGCGCCACACGTGTCCGCCCCGCTCCCGATCCCGCCCCGCCCGCAGCGGCCGCGGCTCCGCAGCGGAGTTTATTTTCTAAGAATCAATAGATTTTTTTTCTTCCTTCAAAATAAATACAAACAACGTCCAAGCGCGGGGCCGGCCGGGGGGGCTGGGCCCAGGGGTTGGGGGCAGCACGGGGGTGGGGGGCGCGGGGGGCCGCCCTGGGGCACGGCGGCGGCCAGAACAGCATCCCGAGGAGCGGCGGGCTGGAGGGAGCGGGCACCGGGAATGGGAGAGTGGGGGGGGCGCGGGGGGGCCGGCCCCACCCCTCCCGTCCCCTGGTGGTGCAGGCCAGCTGCACGGGGGTCCCCGAGCCCCGTTTGCCCTGAGATTAGGCGGGGGAGCGGCCGGCGGGGCCGGCTCAGTCGCTCTCGCTGGAGTCACTGCTCTGCTCGCCCTGCACCTTGTTGCGGTGCTGCATGGCGCGGTGGTAGGCGATCTGCACCGACTTGCGGATGTTGGACTTGCGGCCCTCCAGCATCTTCTCCTTGTCCAGGTCCTGGTTCACCCCCAGAGGCACCAGCTTCGTCCGGGGCAACCACTGCCTGTGGGGAGCGGGGGGCCACCTCGTTTGAGGGTTACAATCGTCTCCGGACACCCCCCCCAAAGCCCCCGGCACCCCGGCCTTACCAAGTGCGCTTGTTGTCGAAGAAGAGGACAAGGTAGAGGTGCTCGCGTGCTTCCTGAGTCATCTGCTCCCCCAGCTTCAGCACCTCCAAGGGGGGCACAGGGATGGGGACGCCGTGGTGGAACATGCCTTCCCGCGGCATCTTGGGATCAATAATCTGCCAAAAGAGCAGTGGAGGGCTGAGAGGGGAACAGGGACCCCAAGAGCCAGTCTGAAGGAAAGGGACGTGGATTTTGGAGGCCCCAATGACAGGCAGTACTCACCAGTGCCGGGTAGGAGGGGTACCCCCGGCACTTGGCCCACACCAGATCCAGGGCGTCCAGGGAGGAATCTTCATCCTCAGAGAGCCACCCTGCACCGCGCGCCATGCCCTTGCGCACCACTGTGCCAGAGGGGAGGGGAGAGAGAGGTCAGCTGCATTCCCCCCAGGTGACAGTGCCAGCCGGGCGTGTGGCTGCACAGCCACAGTACTTACTGCCATGCCCCACGCCTCGTCCAGTGCCCACAGAGTAGGACTCGTTCTCCGTCCCTGACGTGTCCTCACTGCTGTCTTCCGGGAAGTTCACTCGGGAGAAGGAGGGTTTCCCTCTGCCCTGCTTGGAGGGCGTTGTGCTGCAGAGACAGGGAGCAGAGCCATCAGTAGGGGTCATGTTAAGCCTTCAGAAGCTGCTTTTGAGAGGGACAGCCTGGTGGGACATGAGGGCTTGGGGGCTCCAGCCACTGGCCTAGGCACTGGGAAGGACGTGGTAGGGGTGCAAGGCAGAAAGGTGGGATGGTGTTTCTGCCAGGGTGCTAGCCAGACCTCCACCCAGTTTCACACAGGAGGACCCAGAAGATGTGCACTGATCAGAATTAGAGGCACAGGCAGGAAGGAACCTGATGGTGCTGTCAGTGACAGAGCAGCTGCTGTGCCAAGAGGGAATTCCCCAGTTCATGCTCTTTGCTAGCGCTTTGGTGCACACTCACACCTCTTGGTTTTACATTAAAAAAAGCACAAACCCTGTAGATTTCTAGGGATTAGCTGGGAGCAGCAGGAGGGTGAAAGAGACAGGGACCATGAAACGGGCTCCTCGTCTGGCAACTCAAGGCCAAGAGCTGCCCACTGACACCCCAAGCAGCATCAGTCTCCAGAGCTGGGCCAGGGACAGTACCTGGTGCGGTCTGAGGCAGCACTGCTGCTGCTGCTGCTGCTGGACTCCGAGTCGGAGCTGCTCCGGGGAAGATTGCAGTCGTTGCGGTACACCAGGAAGCTCTTCTTCACAGGCTGGTTCCCACTGCTGAAACCGTTGGCTGGCAAGTCTGCAAAACACCCCATGGGAAGAGCATTACCACTGCACCAGCCCCTGCCACGTGCTGCCAGCGGGGCCACAGCTGCCCGGCTGCACCCACCCATGGGAGCGTCCTCCGTGGACTTGTCACTGTCACTGTCCGAGCTGGAGCTGGGCCGCGGGCTCCGCCCTCGCTTCCTCTGCCGCTGGGAGGACCCCATTATTGGAAGCTGGGGGGGCCCAATGGGGCTGTTCCCGTGCCCAGGAGTGATCTGGCTGTCTCGATTCTTTGGAGGGCGTCCCGGACGTTTTGGGGGCCCTGCAGTTTTAGGGTTCTTCTTGGAAAAGAGCACTGAGGTCCTCCTGCCAACTTCATGTGCCGGGGTGGAAGAAGAATTGGGACCCAGACCTGGAAGAGGGAGAAGGTGTCAGCTGCAGCCCTGCTGGCAGGAACTGCGTGGCAGTGGTGTCAAGAAACAGCTTCATTTCTTGGGAACATTATCATGGAAGATCCTCCATCCCGAGTGTTGCCATGCCTGCAGCTTCAGGATCAAACTTTCCAGTCTGCTGACAGTAAAAGCTAGATAGGGACATCAACGAAGTGCCTGAAAGACAAAGGTCCCTGCTTGCAGAAGAACTTGCTTTTCCTGGTTATTAGTGGACAGGACTGGGATGCAGAGGTGGCAAAACCCCCAGTGACACCTGGCAGCTCTGCCTGGAGTTTTTGCTGTGTCCCCACAGACCCCAGCTCAGCATCTCTGTCCAGGGAGCCGGTAGCTGGCCTGTGTTTGAATCCCAGCCTGAGACAGCATTTGAAGCTCGGCAGTCAGTACCATTGCAACTCCCTCCCGTGCCCCCAGGCAGGAAGGGACACTGAAGGTAGCCTGCTCCATAATGCCCCTAGAGAACCCCACAGCATGGCTGAGCTGACAGGGCCTGGCAGGAGGAAACAATCCATCTCATGCCCCACATCACACAGCTGGAACTCTCAGTCTCTGGAAACAACATCCGGTTCCTTGACTGACCAGGAGACAAGCTCACCAGGTGAGCATACTGACTGTGCTGTAAACACCAGCAATCTGCCAAACCTCCCCAGGGGCAAACACACACTAGGCTGCAGCTGTTCCAGACATTGGACATGGTCTCTTTCAGCTGCCAATACCCTCTGCTTGGCTGGCACAGCTCAAGACAAACTACTCAGTGGGTGCCATCCTCAGAGGGGCACACTGGGAGGGAGCCTAGGGAGGCACAGACATCATACTCTGTACCCACCCCTTTGGGAGAGACTACAGGAAATGAGGAATCCCTGCAGGGGAATGGGGGATAAGGGTCCATCCTGCAAGAGGCCACTGCCCCACTCACACAGAGGAGTGAAGAGTGAGGTGTGTGTGGGGATCTGACCATACAGCCCTTCAGCCTCAGGACGCACCTGGCAGGGCAGCCGCTGCCCAGCCGAGCCAGTCCAGAGGCAGCTCTCCACTGCTCCCCGAACCGGCAGTGCTCAGGAAGGAGCATTACCTTTGCCAGTCTCCTGGCTGCTGCTCTCCTCTGCAGCGCTGTCTGTCTGCAGGTCCTTCTCACAGGGGTTGTGGGACTGCATGACTCCCCTGGCAGAGGAGCTGTGCCGCTCCAGCCCGTCCCGGCCCAGGTCCCGCGGGTGCGCGAGCTTCCGCCGGAGAACCGTGATCTCCTTCTTGATCATCTTGGCCCGGCGGGACCGTCCTATGCTCTGCTTGCCCGCGTTGACCTCATCCAGCCGCTCCAGCAGGATCTTCAGCTGCTCCTCCAAAGGCAGGTGCTTCTGATTCTCCGAGAGCAGCAGCCGCACATCTTCTGGGGGAACAAAGAGGAGCAGGATGGATGAAAGAAACAGGAAACTCATGGAAGCTCCTCTACATGAAAGGGCATGAGACAATCCAGGTTCCCTGCAGGAGGGAAGTAGCTGATGTGGCATCAAACACCTGTGAACCCTTTAGGGAAGTTACCCTAAAAGACCTGAGAAGGGGGAAAGCCAGCTAGTTGGGACCATTAGGGAAAGCAGGCTGATCAGCAGTGTGGAGGATACCAGGCTTCCCATTGGCTGGAGACAGGACACAACACAAAAAAAAAAGGGAACTGTAACAGCAAAAAACAGAAGTCAAAAGGATCCTGAAGCATTACAGAGCAGGCAAGTTCCCCTGTCTGAGCCTGTCTTGTGCTGAAGCAGGGACAGAGGTACCCTAAAAGGACCCTTCTCTGAACAATATGTTCTTGGCAGTGCTCCCCAATGCCCAGAGACAAGCAGGACTACAACCACAGAGCCAGTGAGGTTTGTCTGAGGGATATCTGGAACAGTGTGGCAGCCAGCAAAGCCCACAGCTGGGAAGGGAGGGGGAAGTAAACAGCTCTGACCAGGGGGAGTTCGTCCTTCTAGCCAGGCAGCACAGCAAGAGTCTTACAGAGCTCACAGCCAGTGCTGGGACGGGGTAACTGTACCCTGACACAGGCCAGAGAGGCCACATCCCAGAGCCCTCTGCTCTGACCAACAGGAGGACCAGGGACCAAGGGATCAGCAGGACGCACAGACAAACCATTGCCTAGAACCAACGTAAGAGAGCTAAGAGATACCTGGCTTGCAAAGTCTCCACCTCTCCAGGAAGTGGGGACACACAGCCCAGCATCCAACTGAACTTCCCATGGGAGGCAGCTCAAACAGACTCTCGGGTGCCCTCACTCTGCCCAGGCTTTACCTCCGAGTAGCCCTCGTACCCTGGGACAGGGGACAAGTACCCACCATCCTCAATGTCTTGGATCTGAGCCTCTTCCACCGTTACGCAGTGGGGGAAGTGCATGCCTGTCTCGAAGTCAATGCCCATCTTCTCGGCCTGCCGGCGAGCCTGCCGGAGCACAGCGCCTCCCTGCTCCCGCAGACGGATGGCTGCCCGGTAGAAGATTGTGTCTTTGGCATTGTACTTCAAACAGTTGTTGATGATCAGGTTGAAATCCTCCTCGAAGTCATCGAAATTCAGATAGCGATAGGCTTCCA